TGTTGCCGCTGTTGCTGTGCTCCTCTCCGCCTCTTGAACACACACACGCTAGGAAGGAAAGCAAAAAAGCGCTACTCGCTACTGTGAAATTGTAAGGCTCTGAAAGGAACAACAGCACACACCGCCCACACACATATTTGTATGCTCTCACGTGTTGCTGCAGTCATGGCACCCCGCACACACAACCGTCGCCGCGTGGCCGGATCCAGCGGAAGGAGGAGGAGAGGAAGAGAGAGGGAGCAGCAGAGGCCCCACATGTCCCGGCATCTCTTCCATTCTGCGGTGCTGCTTCTCCTCGTCGTGTTATGCGGCAGTGGCGTTGCACACGCTGTGCAGCCGAAGACTGACGTTGATCCTTTTACAGGAATTGGATGGACATCCCCTCAATGGGAAGGCTCTACAGAAGGTAATGAAAAATTCTTCTCGCTCCGCGTTCCCAGCCTTGTTGAGGTGAACAGTGCTGTGTTCGTGGTTGCTGAAGCGCAGTGCAAGGAAGACGACAAAGGCTGCAGCCGTGCTGGGATTGCGTCAAGACGCCTCAATCTAACTGATGATAAGCCAACGGAGATATTGACGACGAACACAAGTTTGTTGATGCCGTTTCCAAAGGGTGCTGCTACAGGTACCGCCAAGGCAAAAGAATCTATGCGGCCAACGACAGTTGTGGCTGGCGACAGTGTCTACATGCTTCTGAGAAATCAGAGCTTTACGACGTCGGTGGGTAAATCGGCTACTGCACGTGACTGGGGACTTTTGCTGGTAAAGGGAAGTGTCAGTGGTGGCAATGGAATCACGTGGAATGAGACCCATGCGGTGACGTTTGGAAACGATGAATATGCTGCTGAATTCCTGACCCAGTTGGTTTCTGGTGGAGGATCGGGGATTAAGACAAAGGACGGTACACTTATGTTTCCCATGCAGGCCACAAAGAACGAAAACACTTCATTGCTGTCCATGCGCTTTGATAAGTCAGAGAAGAAATGGAAGCTTTCGCACCAAACGGATGTTGATGGCTGCAGGGACCCGACCATCGTGGAGTGGGGAGAAGAAGACAGACTCCTCATGATGGCCTCTTGTGA